AGACTGGGAGAAAATATTTGGAAATCACCTGTCTGATAAAGGTCTTATGCTGAGAATATACAAAGAAGTCTTACAATTCAGTAAGACAAACAACCAAATTAAAAACTGAGCAAAAGATTTGAGATATTTCGCCGAAGAAGATATACAGATAGATATTCATCATTAGTGGAATGTAAATTACACTAACAATGAGATACTATCTCACACTTACTAGAATGGCTACAGTAAAACTGTCAGGCAGTAACAAGTGTTGACAAGGATGTGAAGAAACAAGAACCCTCACAGGATACTGGTGGGAATGTAAAATGGTACAGCCACTTTGGAAAACAGTTCAGCAGTTTCTTAAAATGTTAAATATAAATTTAACTAGCAATTCTATTCCTACGTAGCTGCCCAAGGGAAATGAAAACATATATCCATACATAGCCTAGCTTGTGAATGTTTGTAGCAGCATTATTCATTAAAGCCAAAAAGTGGAAAAACCCGAAACATCAATGTCCCATCAACTGGTGAGTGAATAAACAAAATGTGATATATCCATATAATGGAATACTAACCAGCTATAAAAAGGGGAATGATGATTAACAGTAAATGGGAGCCAGGGGTAATGGCTCACACCTATAATATCAGCACTTTGGGAGGCTGAAGTGGGAGGACTGCTTGAGCCCAAGAGTTCCAGACCACCCTGGAGAACATTATAAAACCCTATCTCTACAAAAAATACAAAAAATTAGCTAAGCGTGGTGGTGCGTGCCTATAATCCCAGCTACTTGAGATGCTGAGACATGAGAATCGCTTGAAGCTGGGACATGGGGGTTGCAGTGAACCAAGATCGTGCCACTGTACTCCAGCCTGGGTGACAGACTGAGAACCCATCTCAAAAAATTAAAAAACAACAACTATAAATGGGGATGAGGGATTTTACTGGGGTGATAAAAATGTCCTAAAACTGAACTATGGCAAATTTACTAAAAATCATTTATCGACATCAAAAAAGAGTAAATCTTATACATAAATTATACCTGAATAAAGTGAGACAAGCAACATAGTTTGGCGAGTACCCAGGAAGGAAAAGCACTGTGTTTCAGAGAAGCAAAGCAAGGTTCTACAAGAGGGAACACTAACTTTGAATGCTAATTAAGCAAAATGTCTCCCCCCTGCAAAAAAACAACCTTATTCTTCTCCCTAGTGTACCTGTAGTACAAAATATTGTATATTCAGTTGTTACATTTATATTTTAAGTTTCATCAATAAAAAATTAGTGAAAATGTGTTTTCCCTCATTATATAAGTACTTAATATCCTCCATTTTTGCCTATTGGCTCACCATGCCTAAAATATTTACCATTGAAAAAGTTTGTTGATCCCTGCTCTAGTAGGTATTTTTCCCTTCAGAAAGAGAAACCCCAAGGCTGCTCTTTCTGTGTTACTAAAGAAGGTTTGCAAACTTCCTCAAATTAAGCAGATAGACTGAAAGAATTGAAAAAGGACAAACTTTCTCTTTCTCCTGAAGTCAGTGGATTCCAATGCTCTATCTGTGAAAACGGTCTTGATCCCATCCACCGTGTCCTTCTGTCCTTACCTGCCCTCCAGCCTCATGCAGCTGACTCTGGATGCGCTGGCAGAAGTCAGGATTGCACAGCAAAGTGAGAGGAGCCTTCAGTTGAATGGACACAGGCTCAGTGGTCTCTAGCAGGTGTTGCCACTCATTGTCACTGTCTGGCTCCTGAAGCAGAAGGGAGTGGAAGGGGCCAGGAGTAGTGTGTAAGTCTAAGGGTAGTGGATCCCAACCCGTAGAAACCATGGGGAATCATGAAGTAACTGCAAGAAGCCAGTGACCCCTTTAGCACAGAGTATTTCTTCAGTCATCTGCAGAAAAAGGTACAGCTGGCAGTCTGTGAGGGGTCTTGAAGAGTCTCTTGGAGAACATTGGCATGTGTGCATAAAGGGATACCTAGAAAGATGTCCACTGCAGCATGGTTTGTAATAATTTTAAAGAGGGAAAGATGATAAAGTCAGTCACTAAGGGAATAGTAAGCCATGGTCCATCCATATTAGAAAATACTATGAGGTTATTAAAAAGATTGTGAAGGCTGGATGCAGTGGCTCACGCCTATAATCCCAGCACTTTGGGAGGAAGAGGCGGATGGATCACCTGAGGTCAGGTGTTCAAGACCAGCCTGGACAACGTGGTGAAGCCCCGCCTCTATAAAAATATAAAAATTAGCCGGGTGTAGTGGCACACTCCTATAATTTCAGTCCAGCCTGGGCGACAGAGCGAGACTCTGTCTCAAAAAAAAAAAAAAGAAAAAAGAAAAGAAAAAGGCTGGGCACAGTGGTTCATGCCTGTAATCCCAGCACTTTGGGAGGTCGAGGTGAGCAGATCATCTAGAGTCAGGAGTTTGAGACTGGCCTGACCAACATGGAGAAACTCCATCTCTACTAAATATACAAAATTAGCTGGGTGTGATGCCACACGCTTGTGATCCCAGCTATTAGGCAGGCTGAGGCAGGAGAATGGTTTCAACCCAGGAGGCAGATGTTGTGGTGACCCAAGATCATGTCACTGCACTCCAGCCTGGGCAAGAAGAGCAAAACTCCGTCTCAATAAAAATAAAAATAAATAAAAATAAGAAGTGTTGTTATGGTTTGAATGTTCTGTCCGCTCCAAAACTCACATTAGAAACTTAATCTCCATTGCACCAGTGTTAGGAGGTAGTGCCGGATCGGGAGTATTTAGGTCACAACGGCTCTGCCTTCAAGAATGGACTGATGCTATGAGAAGGGTTTGCAGGCTGGGCACGGTGGTTTACGCCTATAATCCCAGCACTTTGGGAGGCCAAGGCAGGTGGATCACAAGGTCAGGAGTTCAAGACCAGCCTGGCCAAGATGGTAAAACCCTGTCTCTACTAAAAATACAAAAATTAGCCAGGCGTGGTGGCACAAGCCTATAATCCCAGCTACTCAGGAGGCTGAGGCAGGAGAATTGCTTGAACCCAGGAGGCAGACGTGCAGCGAGCCAAGATCTTGCCACTGCACTCAAGCCTGGGCAACGGAGTGAGACTGTCTTGAAAAGAAAAAAAAAAAAAAAGATTGTGGTAAAACTACACGCTCTGGTGTAGAAAGATCCCAGATTATATGGCGAAAGAGGCATGATGCAAAATAATACATGTAGTACAAGCTCAGTAATGGAAAAACAGCCAAGCTATAAATTCCTATGTGTGCATATGCACGTATGTGAAATTATAGAAAGTCTGGAAGGAGACAGCCTAAATTAATAACACTGGTCACCTTGAGGACTAACTCAATGAGGACTTTCATTTTTACCTATGTGTTTCCATTTTTCATAATTATATGTTCAGATACTGTGCAATTAAAATCTATAAATGAGTAAAAAAGCAATACCTTTTAATACGAAGAGAGCTCATACTTAGGGGATTGGGAATCACTGTTCTAGAAAAACACCTACCTAGACCCAGCATCCCATGAAAGAAACAAAGTCAATAAGAGCCCCTGGGCCTTACCTCATTTTCCAGGTCCACTGCATCAATGCCCCGCTGGCCCAGCACCTCTGGCCTCTCCTCTGGGAATGCTTGTTCCCAATCTGGGGTGGTCCGGTTTTCCCTGCCAGAGGAAGCCAGGGAGTAGAATGGGTTCCAAACCTCAGGGTTCATTAACTTGTCCCTCTCCGTAGGCCCAGGTTAGGAATGAGAAACAAACCATATAGGATTGACTAGAGGAGACTTCTTTCTGGGATATAGGATATAACCAGTACAGGATATGTTGACTACTACACAAATATCCTTAAGTGTCTTCTCCCTTTAGAGCTTATTCTTGAGTCTACTTTGCAGTTTTCACCTATGGCTCTCAACCCAAAATAACCTTCCCTTTTGGATAGAGATAATTCTTTCCTTTTCAGCCAATCTTTTTTTTTTTTTTTGAGACAGTCTCACTCTTTTGCCAGACGCCAGCTGGAGTACAGTGGCACGATCTTGACTCACTGCAACCTCCACTTCCCGGCTTCAAGAAATTCTTCTGCCTCAGCCTTCTGAGTAGTTGGGACTACAGGCATTCACCACCACGCCCAGCTAATTTTTGTATTTTAGTAGAGATGGGGTTTCACTATGTTTGCCAGGCTAGTCTTGGTCTCTTGACCTTGTGATCCACCCACCTTGACCTCCCAAAGTGCTAGGATTATAGGCGTGAGCCACTGTGCCCAGCCTCAGCCAACCTTTCAATGTATATAAAGAAGAGAAATGCCCCAAGTTTCCTGATGAATCAGAAAAGCATCTATAATTAGAATCCAAGAACCTAGGACTCAGACTCTCAAGGCTCTATCCATATTTAGGCAGTGGCTAGTAACAGGGACCATTTTGTATTTGCTTTGGCTAGAGTCAAAGATATGCAAGATACCCCACCCTGCAAATCCCTACCTATACCCTTCTCACCCAGGTGCATGGGGCGCCTCTCCAGTCCCTGACTCAGCCCAGCTGCTCTTCATTTCTGAGGCTAAGATCCCAGCCAGGAGGCTTGATTCCTGAGGAGTGGCCCCGAGTCTGGGCAGAGGGGCTGTGCCAGGAGCCACCTTGCTGGTTTTGTCTTCTTGCTCGAGGGCAGGTCCTGTGTTCTGATGTTTCTATGGGAGGTAGGGGGGCAACACTGGATCAGAGCTATTTGGTTGCCATAGGACACTATGGATGCTATTCACAGCCCTCCCCCAAACTCTAGAAAGTCACCCTTCTCCTCTAACTCCCCAGTCACTAGTCTGGTCATTTCACATATTTTCCTCTGCCCCACATACCTTCTGCCTGGCCTCTGCAGCCATGCGTTTATAGGCCTGAGTCAAGATGCGAGACTGATTGCCTTTGGGGGCCAATCGATGGGCCTGTTCGTCCTTTAGGACCTGCAGTTCTGGGGGTAGGCGGCTGGTGAATGGGTTGCCCAAATTTGGACGTGCTGGCTCAGTTATTACTGTGGGGAAGGAAGAGGAGGAAGACATGATCATGGGGGTTGTAGCCACTATGTCCACTTGGCCAGGGACAACTTCAGTGTCTCCAGGCTTCTGTGGAAGAAGGTCATTTTGAAAAAGTGACAGAGATAACAAGGGAAGTGGCAAAGGTTAGCTGAAGGGCTAGGAAGAAAGTTCAAGCTGCTGGAGGAAAGAGGATATGTTAGACCTAGATGGTGAGGGAACGGAAAGGGAAGTGGTTTGGAGAAAGTACTGGGAAGTACAAGAGCCATGGGAACCTGATGACTCACTGGTGACACGACCAGCAATAAAGGGGTGATGTAAGAGGTCTGGCCAGGACAGTCGCTGCCGGGGGTCTTTGGTGAGCAGTCCCTGCAGGAAGTTCTACAGAGAGAAAAAATATTCCATCAGTCATTCCTTCCCTTCCCTTAGGGCTCTAACTTATCAGCAGAACTGGCAAACCAAGACTCCCATATCCATTCTCACAGCAGACTAGCTGCTCCTGATCACGCCCTCTAAAAACTTTGTTTAGGCCCCATTTTCCTGGCCGACATCATGGACAGACCACTGCCTCACCCCCTAGGGACAGGACCCCAAATCCTGTTCATGGACATTTTGTAACCCCAGAAGTAAAAACAAATTTTAATGTCACCAACTTTGTAAAGAAGGGAGAAAAAAAAACTGGGAGAAAGAGATGTCATCTTCATAATCATCTTCAGAAAACAAACATTCTAAGAACTCCCAAACTATTCACGCTGCTCTCCCTTTGACTATGGTTTGTTTGTGGCTGGGTAGGAACAGATGCATTTTTGGTTAAAAGCACATTCACAAACAAGTAATTGTGTGAAGGTGTGTTTGGAAGTACTCAAAAACAGAAATCTTTTAGCAAGTCTTGAGAAGTGGAGAGATAAGGAGACAGTCTCTGAAAAGGATACATCTATTACCAGGAATCTTTGGGGAAATCCCCAATTGGGCCTGAAATAGGAACAGAGGTACTAGTACATTATGACCACTTTTCTAAAACAAGGTGATCTGTGTAACTACGGATCTTGCTGGAGCTGCCTGCACATCAGCCCACGGGGAGAATGAATATCCTATGTGCGCCTCCTCCACTTAAGGTTCCTTCATTTAGGTTCTTCTTGACAATTATTGGGGGCCTTCTCAACTAAACAGGTGAGGAATCTGTTGTCCCTTCTCTCTCTCTCTCTCTTTTTTTTTTTTTTTTTTGTTGTTGTCCCTTTTCATCTCAGATAAAGCAAAGCTGGAATGAGGTTTCACTCTGTGAGAAGATTGCATTTAAATTCCATTGAAAGTCTATAATTTTGCCCTACATAAAAAAATAAAAGAGGGCTGGGTGCAGTAACTCATGCCTGTAATCTTAACACTTTAGGAGGTTGAGACAGGAAGATTTGAGGCCAGGAGTTTCAGACCAGCCTGGGCAACAGAGTGAGACCCTGTCTCTAAAAAAAAAAAAATTAATTAAAAAAGAAATAGAAAAGAAGTCCAACTCCTCTCCTACTCTCTTCCCTTCTCCAGCCTACTGACTTAGTCACAGTGAGTAGGCACCACCTCTATCATCTGACCCTAATCACTGAACCAGCTCCACCAGCTCCACCAGCTCTCACCATGCCATCTATTCCATAAGTAGAATCTATCCATAAGTGGAATAGATGGCATGTAAGAGGACCAGTATCTATCTCCGGTATCTTCAAGTTACTTTTTCATTGTAATAAAGCATAGCCTGGCTCAAACTGGAGTTACCATTTTCAGGTTTGGCAAACTTTAGAACACCCTCCCAGAATAAGCTCCTGCAGTAGAAAAGCAAGGCTGCCTGGCCCAGCTCCAGCATTGATACGGTTTGGATTTGTGTCCCCATCCCAATCTCATGTTGAATTGTAATAATCTCCAATGTTGGAGGAAGGGTCTGGCAGGAGGTGATTGGATCATGGGGGTGGACTTCCCCCTTGCTGCTCTCATGATAGTGAGTGAGTTTTCATGAGATCTTGCTGTTTAAAAGTGTATGGCACCTTCCCCTTCTCTCTCTTCCTCCTAATCCGTCACTTAAGACATGCCTGTTTCCCTTTTGCTTTCCGCCATGATTTTAAGTTTCCTAAGGCCTCCCAAGCCATGCTTCCTGTACAGGCTATCGAACTGTGAGCCAATTAAACCTCTTTTCTTTATAAATTACCCAGTCTCAGATAGCTCTGTATAGCTAACAAACTAACATAGGCATTAATTCAGTAACTGAATTAAAAGTAATCCTTTTCCTGCCTCAGCTCTGGAAAAGGATTTTGGAAAAAGGAACAGAGGTAGAGGGAGACAGATTTCTAATGTAAAAGTAATCACTCTTTCAATATTCAATACCTTAAAGCAGGGACTCATGGTTGAAGGCCAGCGCACAGGGTCCTTGAGAATGAGGCTGACCAGTTGAAAGATGCTTGTAGCATAAAAGGGAGGGGTGCCTACTGCCAGTTCATACAGTATGCAGCCAACAGACCAGAGGTCTGCCGTGTGGTCGTATGGTCGCTCCTCCACCAGCTCTGGAGACATATAGAGTGGTGTGCCTTTGATGGACGTCAGCACCATTGTGTTGGTGCTCATAGCCCGGGCAAACCTGCAGAAGATAATGGGATGGAAATGGAAAGGGAAAAGATATTCTAAATCTGGTCACTGCTACCTAACATAGAGATATCCCGAACTGGAGCAGAGGGAGCATCTTTGATGATGCTCCAAAAGACCCAGCAGAAGTCCCAGTCTTGAGCTCTGGTTCTAAAATGAGGACCAAGTAAGTCAAGGGTATGGTCTAAGATTCCCTGGGGAACTGGAAGCATAGATAGATGCTCAGAATCCTTACCCAAAGTCACAGAGCTTAATGCCACCACCCTTGTCAAGGAGGATGTTCTGAGGTTTCATGTCTCGGTGTAAGATGCGGTGAGAATGCAGATAGTACAGGGCTGACACTAACTGGGCGGCAATGACCTGAACCTAGAAGTCAAACAGGTGGGAGAGAGAAAGAAAAGGTTAGAAGTAGCAGCTGGCTGACAAGCCCAAAAACTTTTCCTAATACTACTGCTAATCTTTTCTTCCTTCCCTTTCTTGCAGAGCTTCACACTATGCCTTTCTTAGTTATTGCTCCCCTTGTTTAATCACTCTTTCATTTGCTCATTCATTCATTCAAGGAAAATTTATTGAATCTCATTTACTATCTGCTTGACCATGGGCAAACTAAGGTGACAATCTATATAACGACTCCGTCTACATCAGAGGATTATTGTGAGGATTGAGTTAAAGCATGCAAAATAATATTCAGAATGGTGCCTGGCATATAGGAAATATTCAAAATACATTACCCATTATTAAATAAGATAAAATGCCTTTTTTCAGGAGAAATAGTCAGACAGACAAATGAGACAGATAAAACAAATATGAGGCCGGGTGAGGTGGGTCACTCCTGTAATCCCAGCACTTTAGGAGGCTGAGGCAGGCGGATCATGAGGTCAGGGGATCGAGACCACCCTGGGTAACAGGGTGAAATCCCATCTCTACTAAAAATACAAAAAATTAGCCAGGCATGGTGGCACACGCCTGTAGTTCTAGCTAATCAGGAGGCTGAGGCAGGAGAATCGCTTGAACCTGGGAGGCAGAGGTTGCAATGAGCGGAGATCACACCACTGCACTCCAGCCTGGGCGACAGAGCAAGACTCCATCTCAAAACAAAAACAAAAAACAAAACAAAACAAAAATATGGTGGTTGGGTGTGGTGGCTCACGCCTGTAATCCCAGCACTTTGGGAGGTTGAGGTGGGCGGATCACCTGAGGCCAGGAGTTCGAGACCAGCCTGCCTAACATGGTGAAACCCCATCTCTACTAAAAATACAAAATTAGCTGGGTATGGTAGCACATGCTATAATCCTGGCTACTGGGGAAGCTGAGGCAGGAGAATCACTTGAACCCAGGAGGCAGAGGTTGCAGTAAACCAAGATTGTGCTACTGTACTCCAGCCTGGGCAACAGAGTGAGACTCCATCTCAAAAAATAAAATTCAATTAAAAATGAAATAATAAAAGAATATGATTATTTACTATTTGTCAGAAGGAAAGGGAATGCTGCAATAATGAGTCCTGAGGGGGCCTGCTTGCTCAGGTACAGAGAAACCCCTAGAATAAATGTTACTGGAGGATGTGTCCAATAAAATCCCACTGCTAACCACTATGTCCTGGTGGTGAATCCTGACTCACCACACCTTTATTCTTTTTTTTTTTTGAGACAGAGTTTCACTCTTATTGCCCAGGCTGGAGTACAATGGCGCAAGCTCAGCTCACTGCAACCCTGGCCTCCAGGGTTCAAGCAATTCTCTTGCCTCAGCCTCTCGAGTAGCTGGGATTATAGGCATGCACCACCACACTGGGCTAATTTTGTATTTTTAGTAGAGATGGGGTTTGGTCAGGCTGATCTCAAACTCCCAACCTCAAGTATCTGCCTACCTTGGCCTCCCAAAGTGCTAGAATTACAGGCATAAGCCACCACACCCAGCCCACAACCTTTATTCTTACTGCCCTCTTTCTGATACCATCACACTGGCCCTTCTTCCATAAAGGTATTTAATAACAACAACAGTGTTAATAGCTAACTACTTAAACACATTACATGACTTATCACTCTTCACCATAGACTTATCAGGCAAACATGATTATTATCTCCATCTTACAAATGAGGAAACTAAGCACAAAGAAATTAAAGTAACTTATCCAAGGATAAGGAAGCATACCTGGTCTTCGGGAAGTTTTCCAAGGAGACCCAGCTAGGAAGGAGCGGAGCCAAGATTCCTACTCAGATATTTTGGATCCAATGTTTACATAATTCACTCCCATGCTGCACTGTCTTTATATACCTAGACTCTTTTTTTCTTTTTTTTGAGACGGACTCTCACTCTCTTGCCCAGGATGGGCTGCAGTGGCGCGATCTCGGCTCACCACAACCTCCGCCTCTCAGGTTCAAGCGATTTTCCTGCCTCAGCCTCCCAAGTAGCTGGGCTTACAGGTACGTGTCACCACACCCAGCTAATTTTTGTAATTTTTAGTAGAGACAGGGTTTCACCACGTTGGTCAGGTGGGTCTCAAACTCCTGACCTTGTGATCCACCTGCCTCAGCCTCCCAAAGTGTTGAGATTACAGGCATGAGCCACCATACCCGGCTTATACCTAGACTCTTATATTCTTCTCAGAAGTCTTTGAAATGGAGATTCTTAGTGCCCTTGGCTTGCTCTACCAGTTCTTCACCTGGAGAGAGGTCGATGGTAGGGTAAAGTTGAAGGCAGGAAGCATACCTGGTCTTCGGGAAGTTTTCCATCATCTTCTAGGATCTGAAAGAGCTCTCCCTCAGCATAGTCTGTCACCACTACCACCTACAGATAGAAGACAGTGGCATGAGGCTGGGAAATTCCTGGGACCCTTGTGCTTAGGGAGAGGGGGCCCAAAACTGTCAAAGCACACCTCTTTGTCAGTTTCAAAGCTGTCAAGCATATGCACAATGTTGGGATGCCGCAGACCCCGCATGATTTCAATCTCTCGTTGCAAATTCCTCAGCTCCTTCTCTGAGCGCCCCAATTTTGGGATGAACTTCAGGGCTACGACCTGTCAGTGGTAAGGTGAAGAGTTAATGCCTAATCACATTAGAGCTGAAAAGAGCCAGAATTTCAGCCTTAACCTCAGAGGTCCAGAAGTCAGACTTTAGAGTATTTGAGAAACTCTTATTTCTGTTAGTCTCTCACTTCCACTTTCCCCATGGTACCCTGGCCTTATCCAGGCTTTCCCCACTCCTCATCCCAGGAGGAAACAACATTTGCCAGACATCCATCTTCTTGGAGAAGTGTTCTGATTTGATCAAAGGATTCAAGATGAGATTTAGGGGAAAAGAAAGGAAGAAAAAATGAAGAGGGAATAATAGAGTTCAAGTGGTTTAACTCTTACTAGATGGTATGCTAGAAACTAATAATATTTATTGTTTACTAAGAGCCAGGCACTGTACTAAGTGATTTAATGTGACAACATATTTAATCCTCAAACTCCAACAATCAGTTGCTGTTCCCACCCCCATTCTGGAGATGAGGAAATTGAAACATAGAGAAGTTAAGTAATTTGTCTATAATTCTAAGGCTAGAAAGCAGTGGAGATGGAATTTGCACCCAAGTACTCCAACTTCAGAGCTTATACTCCATAGGAAGTATGAGGGAGTCAGTGACTTAGGAATACAAACTGGTAGATACATCTCTTCTTGACCCATTTTCCACTGGGGTTGGAGGTACCAAATCCCGCCCAAAAGGTATCCGTCTTTGCGCAACACCTGAGCACTGTATTTTCTTCGACCCTTGTACACCCTTCCAAAAGAGCCTTCTCCAATCATCTCCAACACGTGGTACTTTTCCATGACAGAGGTTTCAGGATCTCTTAGAAGGAAAAACGTAGAGATGGTGGTAAAGAGCTATAGATCCAGGGACAGTTCCACAACATCTGGGAGGCCTAGTTCGGGCATGAGAAAGAAAAAATGTTAGCCACCTTGCCTTTTCCTCTTTTTCACAATAACGCAAGCCTCAAAAAAACATGGGAGGGTAGAATGGATGGAAAGATGATGAGATCTTGGAACAAACAGAGCGTCTCTTTGTAGTTCCTCCTGACTTTCAACCTCCGGTCCCCAACCTGGCCCCACGCCCACCTGACACCTGGTCTCCCTTCTCCTTCCACCCAGCTTGCCCACTCAACCCTGCTCTCTCAACCTAGACTTGCCCACTCAACCCTGCTCCTTCGAGTCTCCCCCAAATTCCTGCCACTCCCAGCCTCCTCAGCACCCGTTCTCAGACTCCCTGGCCCGTGCGCTTCACAGGCCAGAGCCCCTCTCTCACCCGCAGCCTAGGAGCGTCCAAGCTCCTCAGGCCGAGGGACAGATTCCCTGGCCTTTAGCCCCATTTCTTCTGGCTGCCTGAGTACTTTGCCTGACTTACAATTCTTCTCCACCCCCGTCTCCCGCCGATCTCTTTTGGCTCCCTTTCTTACAATTTTACTTGCTAGAACCGACGAGAAGTTCAGAGGACAAAGGCGCTCAGAGGTGTGGGAGGGACGGCGGATAACACAAGGGCACTTCCTGGGATACTTCCGAACTGCCTCATGGCCATCAGGACCCGCTAAGGACCTGGAGTCTGCGGTTGCCTAGAAACGACGCTAGCTGTCCACCTCTCTTAGTTTTCCGCCTTCCACTTCCCTAAGGGCATTTCCGGTTCCGGCTGCGGGCCGGAGAAGATATGGCGGCGTCTGCGTCTGCGTCTGCGGCTGCAGGGGAGGAGGACTGGTAACTTTGCGGGCATGGGCTTTGGCTGACGGCCTGGATTTAGTCCAGAGGCCTAGCAGCTGTCGCAGACAGTCCGTACGGCGGGCGTGTCGGGTGAAGCGAGGAATGAGGGATGGCAGAGATGCTGACATCTCCTCTGGAAGAGCTTCTGGACTGGGGAACGGGAGGGTGGAGGGGCGCTGATCTGAGTGAGTGAAGACCGGGTCTGCGCCCGCCGGGCCAGTTCGGGCCTCTCCTTATCCGGTGCGATCTCCTTTCCTCCAGCCTCATACCATCCCTTTCTCTCTCCTGAAATGAATTTTCTCAGGGGCTTTGGGGGATGCCTGCTCGTCAGACCTCCCCATCTCCCCTTCACCTCTCGGAACCACTGCCCTCGAGCTCCGGTCCCCCTTTCCCCTTGGATCAGCCTTTTTCTGCCGACGCTTCCCCTAACCTTCTCTCTCCCAAACAGCACTAGTGAGGACTATTGTCTGAATAAAGCTTTACACCTCACATAAAGTACCTCTAGTCCTTCTCTCAAGCATTCTTAACAAAAGACCGGAACATGGAAGGACTCTGGGATTTGAAAGTAGGATAAATGTGGGTTAACTCCGTATTTTATTAGCTGTGTGATGCTGACCAGTTCACCTAGCATCTGTGAGTCAGTGTCCTCAGCTGTAAAAAAGTGGGTGTGGCATCTACCTCAGAATAGTTGAGAGGGTCATGACGGATTTGTAACACACTTAAGTCTGCTTTTTGTATTTTGGATTTGTTTGTTTTGTTTTAATTTTTTTTTTTTCTTTTTGAGACAGAGTCTCACTCTCACCCATGCTGGAGTGCAGTGGTGCAATTACTGCTCACTGCAGCCTTGACCTCCCCAGGCTCAGGTGATCCTCCTGCCGAGTAGTTGAGACTACAGGTGCGCGTCACCATGGCTGGCTTTTTGTATTTTTTGTAGAGACAGAGTTTTGCCATGTTGGCCTGGCTGATCTTGAACCCCTGGGCTCAAGTGATCCTCCCACCTCAGTCTCCCAAGATGCTGGAATTACAGGCGTGAGCCTCCATGCCCAGCCTTCTTTTCGTTAATAACTGAGGTGCAGGCACCTGGGAAGACTAAATGAGCCCCAAAGAAGTAAAGTAAGTTGCCAAAAGGTAGAAAATTATGACTAGAAATCCACATCTGTCTGGCTCCACACCTTAGATTCTTTGTACTAGGACATTCTTCAGTGCCTGCCCCCCTCCCCCCACCATATTGTTGTCACCACCTTACCAGTATCCATCCCACCTAGGATCCACATAATTAGCTAGGGTGGGCAAAGTATTGAAGGGCCACTTGACTGAGGCCCCACCTCAGTGTTGCATTGGTTCAGGGAGCCTAGCTAGTACTGGCCTTTATTAAGACTATCTAGACTAGTGGTTTTTAAAGTGTTTGGGGAAACTTTTTTTTTTTTTTTTTAAGAGACAGAGTCTTCCTTTGTTACCCAGGCTGGAGTAGTACAGTAGCAAGATAATGGCTCACTAAAGCCTCGATCTCCTGGGCTCCAGTGATTCTTCTGCCTCAGCCTCCCAAGTAGCTGGGACCACCGTGTCCAGCTAATTTAGCATTTTTTGTAGAAACAGCATCTTGCTTTGTTGCCTAGGCTGGTCACGAGCTCCTGGCCTCACGTGATCCTCCCATCTCAGCCTCCCAAAGTGCTAGGATAATTTGTAGGCATGACCCACACACTCACCTTTTTAGGGGGAGCTTTTAAAATTTGAGGGAGACACCTTGAGCCATGGAGAGAGCAACAGTGAGTGCAGCAGCTTGTAGTACTGAGACTCCCACTTCCATATCAGTCAAAACTACACTGTTATCTGTGAGGTGTAAAGCTTTATACTTTATATTTTGAAGTTTCCGCCTAAGACATAACAACACTGACATAGGTCCTGCTGGGGCAGACTTACTCTTCTAAGAGGGATTCGCGTAGGAAAGCAAAGTATGCGTTTTTCCATATATCACCTGGGTAGAGCTGTAGACACAAACCAATCACTCAGCTTTAATTTCATTTCAATTGCTGTTTCTATGCTGAAGCATGTGTGTCCTCTGATTTACATCAGAACCATGGATCTAATCTCAACAGGCTGATCTAGATCAACCAGACAGCCAGGGTCAGAAATACGTCCAGAATACTCTTAACTACCTCCCTCCTTCCCTCTTTCCTTTTAAGGGAGAAGGTTATATACAGAGAGGAAAGAAAAGAGGACATAGCCTAGCTATTATAGCCCAGATATTATTAGGTACTTTATATAAACAAGTCACCTTTTATCCTCATAATAGCCCTAGAGAGTAGGTGGTATTACCTATATGTGATAGACAGGATAACTTAAGCTTACAGAGAGGTCACTTCACAGATCACATAGCCAATAAGTGATTAGTACCTGTTACTAACTGAGGCTGCTGGCTCTTCATTACAACACAGCCTTTACACCACCCTAGACCTGTTGTGTTGAGGTTGGTATCTTTTTTAAGAAGGCTTGTGATGACTGGTGTTAACAGTGGGTATAGACAGTAGCCAAGGCACTGAGATCCACACTGGACAGTGATGTAGGGAAAGACTGGAGTAGTATTGGTTAACGTTAATGCTAATTAATGGGTGCCATATTTCTAGACCAGAGAGTCAGCCACAAAGGGGAATGAAACTTAAACAGGGAGTCAGGAAACCTGGCTGTGGCCCCAGTTCTACCTATGCTAAGCCTTGGTTAGTTGTTTTACTTCTCTGGAATGCATTTCCTCATCTGTTGGCAGAAATGAGGCCTAAAATTCTGATTTTCATGCCCCCTGCGTGGCCAGTTGACAACTTAAGGAAACATTTTCCTTGTTTTTAAGGAGTTTAGCGGGAGAATGCATTCCGGTAGATTGCCATTTTTCTGCAAAGCCAGTCTTTATTGCCCTTAGCAGGCTTCAGCAGGGAGAGATGTAATTGTGAGTCAGTCTACTCCTTTCTCTCTAGGGTCCTTCCCTCTGAAGTTGAAGTGTTAGAGTCCATCTATCTGGATGAACTACAGGTGATTAAAGGAAATGGCAGGTATGTATTCTACCAGTGGTGGGCAGGAGTCCCTCTAGTAATGAGGAGAGGTTCTATGCTGAATCTGGGTCTTAAGACACTGTGAGCCTTAATTCAGAGATAATACTTCTCTTGTGTGAACAAAAGCTATTCCTTTAATCCTCCCCAAAAGAAAGAGTCCAATGCATACTTCCTCTGCCCACGTTACTGTCTGAACCCCATCCTCCCCAGCCCCCAAGCCCCTGCCCAGTCACATCTGCATTTCCACTTTATCCACCTGCAGAACTTCACCGTGGGAGATCTACATCACTTTGCATCCTGCCACTGCAGAGGACCAGGATTCACAGTACGTCTGCTTCACTCTGGTGCTTCAGGTCCCAGCAGAGGTGAAGCCCCTACTCTGTGGCAGCAAAGGGAGGAAGGGGAAAGTCCCTGGGGTGGATCAGTTCAGCAGTAACTTGTGATTTGCCCCCACTAGTATCCCCATGAGGTGCCACAGATCTCTATCCGAAATCCCCGAGGACTCTCAGATGAACAGATCCACACGTAAGTTGGACCTGACAGAACAGGGAAAACTCAGCTACAGCTTTGCCTTGTGAGGGAAGTGAGCAGGCCTAATATTTGGTTTGCCATCTTCCTCCAGGATCTTAAAGGCGCTGGGCCATGTGGCCAAGGCTGGGCTGGGCACTGCCATGCTCTATGAACTCATTGAGGTAAGAGGTGCGCTAGCCTGGGAATATGTTCTTTCTTTCAAGCTAGAGCAGTTTCTAGCCATAAAAGGGAAACCATGGGCCTAGAATCTTTAATAGATCTGGAGTCATTAGGTAAGGCCTAAATTAATCCAGAGAAATGAGACTCTTCTATTTGAAAAACTTCCCAAAAGACAGTTCAGTAGCTTCTCCAAGTTGCGTATGCCAGCATCTTGACAGAAAATGACTTTTCCTCTTCAACTTGAATTTTTCTTGCTTCAGTTTCAGTGTGTTTCTTGTTCTCTAGGCACTGGCAACTGAAAGTGGCAAAAGATAAGGATCTTGCCATAATACTCTTGGGGGAGTCTTAGCCATAAATGAACATTTGAAGGCTAGACTGCCATTGGAACTGACTAGAAAAAGTCGTGGTTGGCCAGACGCAGTGGCTCATCCCTGTAATCCTAGCACTTTGGGAGGCTAAGACAGGTGGATTGCTCGAGGCCAGGAGTTCAAAACCAGCCTGGCCAATGTGGTGAAACCCTGTGCCTTCTAAAAATACAAAAAATTACCCGGGCATAGTGGCACGCGCCTGTAATCCCAGCTACTCGGGAGGCTGAAGAAAAGAAAAGTCATGGTTCCTTACTAAAAGAGTTTGTACACTGCTTAATGAAACAACCCACGTGAAGCAACACCTGGAGCTTCAATATACACAGAAAACTTTTATTTGAGATTAAAAATAACAAGCCAGGAGCGGTGGTGCGTGCCTGTAGTCCCAGCTACTTGGGAGGCTGAGGTGGGAGGATCACTTGAGCCTAGGAGTTCTGGGCTATAGTGTGCTATGCCAATCAGGTGTCCGCACTAAATTCGGCATCAATATGGTGACCTCCCGGGAGCAGGGAACCACCAGGTTGCCTAAGGAGGGGTGAACTGGCCCAGGTCAGAAACAGAGCAAGTCAAAACTCCGTGCTGATCAGTAGTGGGGTCGCACCTGTGAATAGCCACTGCACTATACAATTAAGTACAGTCTTTTTTTTCCCCTAGTTTAATTTTTTTTTTTTTTTTTGAGACAGTCTTAGTCTGTCACCCAGCCTGGAGTGCAGTGGCATGATCTCAGCTCACTGCAACCTCTGCCTCCCAGGTGCAAGTGATTCTCCTGCCTCAGCCTCCCGAATAGCTGAGATTACAGGTGTATGCCACCATACCCAGCTAATTTTGTGTTTTTCGTAGAGGTGGGGTTTCTCCATGTTGGCCAGGCTGGTCTTGAACTGCTGACTTCAGCCTCGGCCTCCCAAAGTACTGGGATTATAGGCATGAGGCACCACGCCTAGCTTCTCCTAGTTTAAATTTTTAAGAAAAATGTCCGGAACAGAATGAAGGTGGGTGGCTGAGAGTCAAAGAGAGTGGGTTTGCCAGGCCACTGTAGCAGTACTAGGTCGGGCTTCCACAATGCAGCCTTGGAGTTTGTAGAATTCCAGGGTACACTATTAGCTATTCAAATAACAATTCAAATGCATATTTCACAGCCCAACTTGATGCCTTGTGAATTCTCTGTCCATTTGGGTTGTCCATGCCTTGACATGCTTTCTGAAAGCTGACTCAGAACAAACTCGTTGCCCCATGGTGGGGAGTGATATGGAAGGGGGTTAAGCAAGAAAGGCCTCCCAGAAGATGAGTTTTAACTGAACATTTTTTTCTTTCAAGGTGTATTATTTTCATCTCCAAGGTATATTAAAAGTGACTTAAAGAAAGGAAAAACAATTAAGTTGGATTTCAAAACCAGAAAGATCAAATTGTGGGGAAGGGGGCAGGGACGTGGAGAAGGATTGATTCCCAGCGGAGGGAGAATCACCAAGACAGAAATTGTAAACACCAGGTACCAAAGTGGCCTGGTAGGAGCCACGTCCAGCCAGTCACTCCTAGGAGTAGTAGACAGGCCTTGCTCACTGTTCTGCCCCTTACCCCCCTATTTGATCAGTGTCTTCTCTCCTCAGAAAGGGAAAGAAATTCTCACGGATAACAACATCCCTCATGGCCAGTGTGTCATCTGCCTCTATGGTTTCCAGGTGAGTTTCTCTCTTGGGGCATGGCATCTGCTTGGAACAGGCAGGTGAGGGCTGTGAGAGAGCTCTGACTTAGTATCCTACATCTGTCCTCCCTCTAGGAGAAGGAGGCCTTTACCAAAACACCCTGTTACCACTACTTCCACTGCCACTGCCTTGCTCGGTACATCCAGCACATGGAGCAAGAGCTGAAGGCACAAGGACAGGAGCAGGAACGGCAGCATGCTGCAACCAAACAGGTCGACCTCACTGCAACTGTGCCCTCACCTGACACCCTTACACACTGCCTTTCACAGCCTTCCCATCCCTCCACTCCAGTGGCTCTTCACCTTTTTAGGGTCGTAGATACCCTTGAGATTAATGAACTCTTATCTCTGTCCAGGAAAAAGGGCATCCTTATATTTTATTTTTTGAGATGGAGTCTCACTCTGCTGCCCAGGCTGGAGTGCAGTGGCGTGATCTCAACTCACTGCAGCCTTCACCTCTGGGTTCAAGTGATCCTCTTGCCTCAGCCTCCGGAGTAGCTGGGATTACAGGCACCCCCCCACCACGCCCAGCTAATTTTTATAATTTCAGTGGAGATGGGGTTTCACCATGTTGGCCAGGCTGATCTCAAACTCCTTACCTCAAGTTATCTGCCTGCTCGGCCTCCCAAATTGCTGGGATTACAAGCCTCCTTCTCCTTCCAGGAGACCTCTAGTTAGACTGCCCAGTGCTCTGTCCCAACTCACTGCTGAACCGGTGTCCTTGTGCCTTTTAGTCCCAGCCCTCTGTGGATTAGGTTGGCTGACTGGGTCAGCACCAGGGGGCATCCTGGGCTGTGATGCAGGCATGTGATTTCTCTTTTTTAGAAGGCAGTCGGTGTGCAGTGTCCGGTGTGCAGAGAGCCCCTTGTATATGATCTTGCCTCGCTGAAAGCAGCCCCTGAACCCCAGCAGCCCATGGTAAGGGGACTTTCTTCGAATGTGAGCCAGGAGTAATGGCATTTTCTAAAGAGTAAGGAATGGCATCTTGTCTGTGTCAAATGGAGTCTCTGCAATTGGGCTTGAACTGCCTAGGACCTCTCTGCAAAGCCGCAGCCCCCACTGGTGGGAGCCTAAGACTCTGGGAGCCCAGACCTGAGGGGCTAAACCAGAATCTTGTGCAGATTTCCTGAGGCAGCCATGGAGGCGTAGGGATTTGAGTCTGCCTTCTGCTTTTCATTATTTCCTCTCTGCCATTCTTCCTTCCAGGAGCTGTACCAGCCCAGTGCAGAGAGCCTGCGCCAGCAGGAAGAACTCAAGAGGCTCTACCAGAGGCAGCAGGAGCGGGGGGGCATCATTGACCTTGAGGCTGAGCGAAACCGATACTTCATCAGCCTTCAGCAGGTGAGGGAAGGTTTTCCCAGTCATCCCATAATGCCACCAACCTTCCTACAAACCCCAATCTGCCATGGCCCCAGATTGGGCTTTGTTCTAAGCAGGGAGATTATAGACTGATCTTGGTCAGCCCTGATGGTAGGAGAGGGGCCTGCGGTTCCCTGCTTTGAGGAGCTGCATCCTCCTTGCTGCATTATCTCATTTCTTTATAGCCGCCTGCCCCTGTGGAACCTGAGTCAGCTGTAGATGTCTCCAAAGGATCCCACCCACCCAGCACCCTTGCAGCAGAACTGTCCACCTCACCAGCCGTCCAGTCCACCTTGCCAGCTCCTCTGCCTGTGGCCACCCAGTACATGTGTGAGAAGATTCCAGGGGCCGGGCCAAATCAGCAAAGGTTGGGCGAAACCCAGAAAGCTGTGCTAGATCCCCCCAAGCCCAGTCGAGGTCCCTGGCGACAGCCCGAACGGAGGTACCTGAAGGGAGGGGAGTGCCATGCCCCCAAAGGTACCTGTGACACCCAGGAACTGCCACCACCAGAGGGGCCCCTCAAGGAGCCCATGGACCTGAAGCCAGAACCCCATAGCCAAGGGGTTGAAGGTCCTCCCCGAGAGAAGGGGCCTGGCAGCTGGCAGGGCCCCCCACCCCGCAGGACTCGGGACTGTGCTCGCTGGGAGCGCTCCAAAGGCCGGACACCGGGTTCTTCCTACCCCCGCCTGCCTCGGGGCCAGGGAGCATACCGGCCTGGTACTCGGAGGGAGCCCCTAGGCCTGGAATCTGAGGATGGTTCCTAGCAGGACTTGGCAAGGACAGGGAATTGGGGATGGGAGGGGAACAATAAAGATATTTGACCTTGTTTGGCTTTCTTTGCTCAATAGCGCCTAGCCTGTGAGAAATGGGTCTTTTTCTCAATTCCTAGTAAGATTGGGGTGTAGCAAAGCAGCCCCCACCTGTGCTCTGAAATCTATTCTCCAGAGAGCTGGGTAAAGAGGGTCTGACATCTCATCAGCTAGTGTAGTCAGTTCCAGGGAAAACTAGTGGGATGTCAGCATGTAAGCAGAGTCCTTAGGATTCCTGTTAACAACCCATGTGTACACACCCACGTCTGTCCATTATATATATATATACATACAATGCCTTTAGGTAGAGGAATTTAGTTTCCTCTTTTGTGTCTCATCTCTATCTTAGTCTATGCTCCATCATTTGCATATGTGGTTGCCTGACTGACCCCTGTAGGCACCTGTGATTGCAGCCTCTGGTTTTTATTCAAGTACCAATCCAGTGAAGGGAGATCTGAGAGCAGAGTAGTGTGGCAGATGTTTATTGAACTAGAGGAGGAGAGCTGAGCCAAGCACAGCCTAATCACCTCCTCAGAGACTCAGTATTGTGAATCGCCCCTACAGGGTCATTTTTGTACAGCATGAAGTAGCCCTGCACCTGGGCAGGACTGATCTGGGTTGTAGCTCGAAGGACGTGTTCTGCAAAGTCCTCAGCTAAGGAAGGTGCCTGCCCTGGATAGAACCTCTGGAACATCTGGGTCAGCTGCCAGTGTGAGCAGTAGCCCACGTACTCCTTCAGGTCCACTCGCCCAGGGCGTATCAGGGCAGGGTCCAACCTGCGAGAAGAAAGGGAAAGCAGAGTCACAGGCAGCAGTCACACTAGCACCCAAAAGAGATGGCCCCTCGACCTGCTCCTCTCAAGGCACTGAGGAGGTGGGCTCTTGCCTCAGTCTCAGGATCCGTCCTACCTGTCAACATGGTTGGTGGTCATGAACACAATGCGGGCCTCAGTGGAAGCCACACCATCCAAGGCATTGAGCAGTCCACTGAAGGTGAGGCGACCCAGGCCTTGGTACCTTACTGGGTCTGGAGTAAGGCAAAGATAAAGCATGGATAGTCATAGTCCAGCCATTAAATTAGCCAGCCCCACTGTGTACCCTTACCATGCCTCTCATGGGCTCCTGTTGTTAACCCAGGCATCCACTGCCAGCCCTCTGGATTTCTACTGTGTTCTCCTGTTCTGCAGTTACCCACTCCCATTCCTCCAGAACCCCTCACTTACTCTCCGCGGCCAAGTCTCGACTGAGAAAAGCAGCATCCACGTCCTCCAGGAGCACCAGGCTCTGCTGTGGGGCCACGCTCAGCAGGTGGTTGAGCCGGTCATCAGAGAGGCTGGAGTCTGTGAGACTCAGCAGACAGATGCTGTGCTCCAGTTCCCCAGCCAGGGCTGTGCTATGGAGGATGGGATGGCAGGAGGTAGCAGGCAACCTGGAAATGCTTCCTCAGGCCCAGCTACTCTCCTCACAGTCTGGGGACGTGTGTCTCAGAGGCCTGACTTCTGGCTCACACCCTAATGTTCCACACATTTCATGTTTATCCTGGCCCCTGGTCCCCAGGCAGCAGTCACACTAGCACCCAAAAGAGATGGCCCCTCGACCTCATTTCCCTTTCCAACCCCATCAGCCCAGTGTTTCCACAAAGGCTTAGTTTTACCAGAGAAATTTTGACTACTCACATAAAACTGCTCTTTCCACAACCAGGGGGCCCATAAAGCAGGTAGCCACGTCTGTAGGGAATGCCTAGGGAGACAGCCAGGATGATACGGATTTTGCCCGATATCCACGTTCATTCCCAGCCCTGCCTGCTGGAAGCCTAATAACCTTGGTAGGGAAAAAAATCATCCTCATATACAACTTTTCATTCCTCTTAATCTCTGGGAATTGGACCAGAACTTTTTATCACCCCATCTGGCCAGAGACCAACCTGTCCCCTCTAAAATGTCAAAAACAGCACAGCCAAGACCTCAGCTGCTTCTCACCTCTGTCAGTGTACCACCTGGGGTTATCAATGAATTCCCGGATGTCTCTGACAATTCGGTCAGCCAGACCCTGTTGTAGAACCACAGAACTCAGTGGCCGCCGGCGGCGTGGATAGCCAAAGGGACGCCATTCAGAGCCCACAGCTGTGTACATCACGGTCTTCCCTTCCTCCTGTTGCAAGGCTAGCTCTCGAGCTGGGAAGAAGATGAGATAAAGCCAATAATTCTCTTCACCATGGCTGGCTGATTCTTCGATTAGGTGGAGCTATGCCAAATAGCTTCCCTCTGGCCCCCTGCTCCCCTGGGCTCACCCCGGTCTGCTTATTCTACCTCCAAACTGCTTATCCTCTGATGTCAAATGTCCCCATCCCTGCAATGTCCCTAGAAAGCCTGCCTGTGCCATCCCACACCTTCCTCCAGGATGTTGAAGAAAACCTTTCGGTCAGTGCCCAGGGCCGTGAAGGTAACAGATTCCCAAGGAGTCCCCGTCTGCAAGTCTATCATCTGCATCTCTCGACTTCGTTCTACCCGGATCCATTTCCCCTGATACCTGAATAAGAACAATCAAAACTGAGTGAGTGAATGGTTCAAACCCAGCTCCCATCATTCTTTTCTACTCTCACAGCCCCCCATGGCTCCCAACCTTACCAGATAAAGTGGTTTCCAGGGCTGGGGACAAATTCAAACTTAGTGGAAATGCGGCCACTCTCATGCTGAAGGTACGAAGTTTCCACACTGAGGTGCTGAGTACGGGTACTGTGGCGGGTGAGCCAGCTAAGCAACCAAGCGTAGCTCCTGTCTCGAGCAGGGACTTCCAGTGTGATCATGTAATGGCGCCGGAATGCCACCAGGCCCAGTTGGGCACCCTTCCGGGCAAGGGCCAGGACTGTACCCACACCCACCAGTCCAAATCCAGCCCCAAAGTAGGGATTGTCCTTCAGGGCCAGAATAAAGTCTGAAAGTGGCATCTTGAAAGGGAAACACCAAACCTTACTGGCTCTGGGGTGTTGCAAAAACCTACAAGTGGGGAACAGTGGCGATGGGACAAAGCAAAAGATTACTTTAGAAATTGGAATTCTCCAGCCCTGCCACAGGTTAGCACTACTCTGTCGGTCAATATCCTCCTTTTGCGGGGTAAGGGTAGTGTTGGAATGCAAGGGTGGAGACTCCAGGTCCCTCATCCCATTTTGCCCTTCATTTCTCTACTCATACCTGTTTCCTACCAGAGGACCATGTCTGGAGATGCCTTAAACCAAAAAGAGCAATATAAACTGGGTTCACATCAGGATAATGGATGGACAGGATTTTTGTGGTCCCTGGTACCAGCTTTGACAGAAAGGGTCCCACTAGCTGGAGTCAGCACGGGAGAAGCGTCCGTTGACTTGTCAATAACCCTATGCCTTGTTACCATGAGTAACGTCCTTCAAATATCCTCTCCCTTACGTTCCCAATATCTAATGTCCTGTTTAGACCTTTATTACTTCCCACCTAAACTATCTTTAAAATTATAGTTCTTGAAATGGCATTTTTCTTCACCTCCTGCTTCACTGAACAGCTACACAAGGGTCCGGATCTTTCATCATAGGGATCAGCTCCAATTCCATCTCTTTCTGCTCCAGCACCTTCAATGGCTGGCTCCCAAGAGACCCCTGAATTGGGTACAAACTCAGCCTGGTACTCAAAGCCCTCCACAATACGGCGCACACCTACCTTTCATGGATTAGTTCCTAACACTACCTGTTCAGCAAATATGCAACAAATATGTTCAACAGATAAGCAACCTCCCACCTCCCTTGCTCATGCAGTTCTCTTGGTTCGGAATGCCGGTTCTTTCCTCCTTTATCCTCCTCAACTGAAAACCTACCCATCTGCTACTTTCTCCACGGATCGTTACACTGTAGACAATAAAATCCTGAGGGATAAGCGCAAAGTTGTCTCTAGTACACCTGTCCTTCAACCCGGAACCCCAGCCACTTTGCCCTGCGCCTGGCATGCAGGGAGATCAGCTGACAGCAGTGACCTCGGCTGAGCCTCAGAACTGGGATCCAGAATTCCAAAACACCTATGCATGAAAGGCCACAGACAAAGCTCTCCCGTCCCCGCCCCCTCCGCGACACCCAGAAGCCCCCTCCTGAAACTTGCCCACACCCCAGCTCGTGCCTCCAGCCACATGGTTTGGGGCAACCCGTCACTCCGCCCACTCACCGCCATGACTCTCTGGCCCTCCGTCTCGTTGGTTTCACCGCGCCCGCACTCTGGGGAAGCAGCGCTCGGCCCCGCCCCGAGTCCTTTCATCTACTTCCCGCCACACCTACCGAGAAGCCCACGCCACTCTACCCCAGAGCTCTCGATGGTGCTTCTCCGACTTCAGGGCTGGAGTAGGGGTGGAGGGCGGGAAAAACCACAGAGAGAAAACATAGAGTACCACGGCAGCGGCCAGAGGAAGAGAGAGTAGCTTCCACATCCCCGATATACTAGAGGCTGCTGGGCCGGAGGCGGTCGCACAAAGGGGGCCTTGGGCTGCCGCTCCAGCCACGGCCGACCATAGAGATGCGGCTCCAGCCGGCTCTGGGTCCGGAGGTGAGTGAGTGGCTGCGGGGCGGGAACTGGGAAGGGAATGCGGGGTGGAGCGAGCTGGAAGCGAAGTTTTTCCAGCCACGGCCTCAGGGTGGGCCTGGACCCTGGGAACTCTCGGGAGGAGGTACTTGAAGGGAGCACGCAGACGAGATGGGCCCCGGCGCCACAGTCGCGTCATGGCTCTGGACCCCGCCTGGGTACCCGCTGCTCTCAGGAACAAAATCATGACGATGCTCCATCCCAAGCCTTCCAGGTTACAAACCGCCTTTCCCGTTCGCTGGCTCTTGTGATCCAGCTCCCGCCCGAAGATATGGACACTGTCATCACCTCCATTTTATAGACAGGAAAGCTGAGGCCCAGAGAAGCGAGGCGACTCTCTGTCCAAGGCCACGCGGAGAGTTAGAACCCAGCGGCAGGTGGGAACCCGGGTCCCTAGGCCGGGGCCCGTTGTTTCTCCCGGCGTGTCTGCCTTAGTCTGTCCTTTCTCTTCCCCAGTGCTCCTACTCGGAAGATAACGCGTGTTTCTTCTCTCGTGCCCATCTGTCTCCTACCTCACCCTGCCCTCCCTCGGGTGAAGGTTCTTAATCTTGACGGCTCAGCGTCCTCCTTGGCTCCCCCCGGAGGCCATGAATGGCCGAGTCGGAAGATTCCCCAGAGCAGAGATAAAATTCAGTAAGTGGAGGCTGCAGTTTACAGAGAATCCCTCTGACAGCAGGAGTGCTCTTCCCAGCCACCTTGTGAATCCCTATGAGCAACTGTTTTGAGTCCGTGGAATTCTGAAAGTAGGGACAATCAGATTGCAGAGTCTTGCTTTCTTTCTTTTTTTTTTTCTTTTTGCAAATTCTCTGTGACTCAATTTCATGAAATGATTACTATTATTCTTATTAATAACTAATTATTCAGCTTGAATTCATTATAGCCGTGTGTAACAGTATGCAATTTAATTGTCATTCATTCCTCAGTTATGTTCCCATATTTAGTTTTAGGTGGTAGTTAATGAGTTTGGAATTTCTCCAAATATGTTACATTATAGATGATAAACCACTGGTTTGGTATGAGATACCTAGCTTTACTCCAATGCAGCTCCCTGTCTGTGGTTCTTCACTGTATTCATTGAAGTGATAATGTCAGTATCACAAAGTGATATTGAAGTGATGATGTCAACAAATTATTAAAAAGCTACACATCTAGGGAGAGAGACTGACAGGTAAACAACAGTGCAGTGTGACCTCGTTTCTGATAGGACTGTGTACAGAGTGCTCTTAGGATGCCAGAAGAGAGAATGGATTAAGAGTGTCAGGAAGCCTTCATGGCAGAAGTGACATTTGTGCAGCTTCTTCAAGGATAGTTAATTGGTTAGCCAGACAAGAGGGGGAGATTGAGAAGGGGAAAGGCATATCAAGCCAAGAGACATGAAGGGCTGTGAGGGTGTGAAAGCAACAGAGAATGTGACGGGTCTGGAGAATGGCACATCATCTGGTTCAGAGACCTGTTGAGAGGAGAAGTGGGAGATGAGTCTGGGAGGTTAGCAGGAGCCAGCTGATGAAGGAAAGGCCTTCCTTATAATCATTCTGAGGAATAGTGAGATTATCAAACAGTAAGAGGGAAAGGGACCAGGCAAGGTGGCTCACACCTGTAATCCCAGCATTTTGGGAGGCCAAAACAGGCAGATCACCTGAGGTCAGAAGTTCAAGACCAGCCTGGCCAATATGGTGAAACCCCATGTCTACTAAAAATACAAAATTTAGCCAGGCTTGTGTGGTGCATGCCTGTAGTCCAGCTACTTGGGAGGCTGAAGCAGAAGAATTGCTTGAACCCAGGAGGTGGAGGTTGCAGTAAGACTGCACTCTAGCCAGGGCAACAGAGCGAGACTCCATCTCAAAAAAAAGGAAGGGGAACTTCTGAGATACTTTGGCCCCACCTAATTTTGTTGCAGATAAGAAAACGGAGACCCAGATTGCTTAATGACTTGGCTAAGGGCACTTAGCTATCAGGAGACAACCTGCAGTCATTAATATTTTGGCCGATACTTGTTGGCTCTCTCTTAATATTCTGTTATCATTTTTTGTTTGTTTTTTCTTTTTCTTTCTTTATTATCATTTTTATATTTTTTGTTCTGAACATTATCATAAAAAGAAAGCCTCTATTTTGTCTCATAAGGTATGTATGGCATGCTGCCATACAAGAATATGCCTAAGTGGGTGGGCACTGGGCTGTGTACCCACACCAGCTGGGAAGAAAGTAAAAACTCTAACCTTATTTTGTTTTTCTTCTGGTTGGCTTGTCAGCATTTAAGAGGCCAAAACACACAAGTCGTGGTGATGACAGACCCCCTGTTGGACTCACAGCCAGCCAGTAGCACTGGAGAGATGGATGGACTATGCCCTGAGCTATTGCTGATCCCCCCACCTCTCCCTAACCGTGGACTCCTGGGGCCTGTCCAGAGCCCCTGTCCTTCTGGGGACCCCACACCTTTACCTACTGAGCCAGGCTGCCTGCTGGTAGAGGCCACAGCAACTGAAGAGGGACCAGGGAACATGGAGATCATTGTGGAGACAGTAGCTGGAACCCTGACCCCAGGTGCTCCTGGAGAGACCCCAGGTACAAACCCAGTTGCAAGTAGGCCAGTGGGACAAGCAGCCCTGAGGTTTTGCCTGGGCTGTTTTTGATTCCATATAAATATGATGAGAACACAAGGTAGCATCCTATTTTTATACTTGGAGATGTTGTAATTTGGTTTGCAGTTGGTTCATGTTTATTGAAGGCTGGCAAAGTGGTGCACAGCCCTCTACCAAGCTTTTGGCAGAGTCTGTCCTGTGAGGGCTTAGTGTGTGCTAGGCAGTAATCCAGAAAGTAAGACCTTTCTGACACCTCTGCCCACTCCTGGCTTGTCCTTCCTCTTAACAGTCCTTGGAGATTTTCTTCCATATTGACCCTCCTACCCAGCAATTACAGCCAGGAATTAAGCAAAAAGCCTGTATCTACCACCCTGGGCTTGGCAGGGCTTTCCAGAAGTGATCTGGTATTTCCCTGCCCTAGTTTTTTTTGTGTATAACATACTTTACTCATCTAAGGCATGTTGTTAAGAATAGGAGTTGAGGCCAGGCGCGGTGGCTCAAGCCTGTAATCCCAGCACTTTGGGAGGCCGAGGTGGGTGGATCACGAGGTCAAGAGATCGAGACCATCCTGGTCAACATGGTGAAACCCCGTCTCTACCAAAAATACAAAAAATTAGCTGGGCATGGCGGTGCGTGCCTGTAATCCTAGCTACTCAGGAGGCTGAGGCAGGAGAATTGCCTGAACCCAGGAGGCAGAGGTTGCGGTGAGCCGAGATCGCGCCATTGCACTCCAGCCTGGGTAACAAGAGCGAAACTCCGTCTCAAAAAAAAAAAAAAAAAAGAATAGGAGTTGAGGCCTGGTACAGTGGCACACACCTCTCAGCTACTTGGGAGGCTGAGGCAGGACGATTGCTTGAGCGTAGGAGTTAGAAGCTGCAGTATGTTACGTTCACACCTGTGAATAGCCACTGCACTCCAGCCTGGCAACAAAGTGAGACTCTGTCTCAAAAAAAAAAAAAAAAAAAAAGAATCATATGCATTCACAGAGATACAGGGATGAGGATATATAGGAGAGCTTTGTTTGTAACAGCTGGATACAGCCCAAATGTCCATCTCTAAGGGCAGAATTTATTTATTTTTTAAAATTGTTTTTAGAATAGGCAACATAGGGAGACCCTGTCTCTACAGAAATTTTAAAATTAGTCAGGCATGGTGGTGCTTGTAGTCCCAGCTACTCAAGAGGCTGAGGTGGGAGAATCCTTTGAGCCCGGGAGGTCAAGGCTGCAGTGAGCTGTGATCACATCACCACTGCACTCTAGCCTGGATGACAGAGAGAGAGAGACCCTGTTTCCCCATGACCAACCAAAAAAATTATTTGGATTTTTTTGGTCTCCAGGGAAGCAAGGCAGAATTTCATTTTGATTTGTCCATGCTCTGAAAAAACATGAACTGGACAAGAAAATACCAAGTAGATGTAAATGTACTCAAAGATAAAAATATCTTTGATATGTAGCAAGTGGGAAAAAAAGGCTCAAAAAGATACAGACCAAATTGTGTGTGTGAAGGTACTGGGTGGCTATTCTTCCTTTGTATACTTGTATATCATTATAGTTGTTGCACGGAAAATTTTTTTAACAATAAAGAGCAAAAGGATTAGCAGAATAAATGTAGGACATCCCTGGCCTTGAGTCATGGCCCTACCACTAGTAAACATAGTGGCCTTAACCTTACAGAATCTCAGGTCCCTGTTCTCTTAGGGCTGTTGAAGGACCAGAGTGTTTCTTAAGCCTTTCTTTATCAAAAGGCCCATTGCTTTTAAAAAGGCAGCAATTATTATGGAGATGATTTGGCTGTTTTCAGAAAGGATATTCTCCATTTTATCAATTCCTTGGCCTTTGTAAAGCTCTTTAAAGAATTTGAAAGTAACACTTGTAATTTATATTGCAGATACTATCCCTAGTTTGTCATTTTCTTTTGGAAG